TTTTACTACTGAACCTACTGTACTGAGTCATTCCACTGATCTTGTCCTCGCCAATGTCACCAGTGATCTTGTACAGTTATTGACACTCCTATCTTTCATGATTTTTTTTTTACTTCTACTCAGAATGTACAGAATGCTCATCAGTCTCATCATTTCCTTTTCCTCCAGGGCATAAACTAGTCTTTTCCCAGCCTTCCCCTGCAGTTAAGTGGGCACACATGACTAGAGTGCTGACTAGTGAAACAAAGAGAAGGGTTATGCTAAAATGATGGAGAGACTTTAGGTCCCTGAATAAATACTACAAGCCTCCCTTTCCAACTGACTGCAGTGGAGTAGGGCAAGAACAAGAAATGAAACTTACTGTATTAAACCACTGGGATCTGGAGTTATTCGTTGTAGCAGTAAGCTATTATGAATATATCCGTGGCTTCTGTCGTGCTACTCTTGCCTGAATTTCTGTCTTAGCCCTTTGTCTCTTTATTTTCTTGGACTTCTCTACTCATTCCTTATTTTTTTATGTAAGGTTCCAGGGTCCACAATTTCTTTTTCTACATGTGTTCCATGAACAAGCTCACACATGCTCATGGTTTTATCTAATTCAGATATGCGGATAGCAGAATAGTAAATATATTCCTAAATATTAGATATAATTTTTACTAAATATGTGTATACTGAATTGTTATAGCTTGTATCTAGATATCCCCTCAAAGCCTCATGTGCTCATAGGTGGGGATTTTCAAAGGTGGCTGGATCTAGGGTGTATGAATGTGGATTAACAGTGTGAAAATTAAATTAGTCCACTGATCAGTGTAGCATTGCTCTGGGTGAGGGTGATGGGAAGCCGGAAAGGCTTGTAGGCTGGAGAGATAAAAGGGAAAGAGAGGTTGCTGCTGCTGCTGGCTGCACACTGCCTGTCTTGTCATGGACTGTTTCTCCTCTGTGATCCCCCTCTGCCATGCCACATTACCTTGAAGCCAGCTGATTATGGACTAGAAACCTTTACAAACTGTGAGCTAAATAAAACTTTCCTCCTTTAAATTTGGGTATCAGGTATTTTGTCCCAGCAATGAGAAAAATAACTAAGACATAAATCTATTTTCTATCATGTTTTAACTATAATTTCAAAATTTTTTATCTACTTCACCTCCCCCGTTTCCCAGAAAGTTGAGTTTATGTATCTTTCCCCCTAATTTTATGTATTTTTATCTAGTTCTTTCATTGAATTATAAAAGCTTCTCATTTATTCTGTACTTTCTGGTGGTACAGTGCCTTGCATAGAGTAAGCAATCAGTGAACATTGCTTGAACAGAATTATTTATTGCATACCTGCTATGTGTAATGCTCTGTGTTAGGGTCATTATAAGATGAAAATATATATAAAATCTGTTTTCTATTTACTTCATCTCTCTCTCTGTAAACACATCCCTATTCCTAGTCCAAAGGTTAAATATACTGAACTATTTGCAGTTTACAAAAGTGACTTGAAGTATAGTTTTGCAAATGTGCAGCAGAAGTGAGCACAGTCTTATAGTTTTGGTACTATCGTTTTTGGGGACCCAGAACTAGTACAGTCCTAAGCAAAGCCCAGAACTTAATTTCATTTATCTGTTAGGACTGTAGAATAATTAATACTTTTTTCTTTTTGGTCTAGAATTCAGATGTATTAAAATATGGACAATTTGGGCTGGAGATTTAGCTCAGTGGTTCCGTCGCCTGCCTTGCAAGCACAAGGACCTGAGTTCGATATCCAGTACCACAAAAAAAAAAAAAAAAAAAAAGAAAAGAATATGGACACTTTTTAAGTTTTTATCTAACAATGAATTATATTTTCTTTTTGAGTAAGTCATTTGAAACTATAGCTTATTCTGTATCATTTATTAGGTAATTTTATTTACTGGAATAATTAATGAATTCATGCAGTGTGATAATATTGCCATAGTTTAACATATAAACAATAGCCAGGTCTTACTTTTCCTTTTTTTACTTTCTTAAAAAGATTTTTCACCATTTTATTCACAGTTAATAGATATCTCCATAAATTTTCTTCTGTAGTCAAACTTTTCCACATTTGATTTTCATTTTCAACTGCATTTTTCTTTTAATGTCTTTAAACATTTGGTGTTGAGCTACATAACTGGTCCCTTGATTTTTCTAGTTGCTTCTTTCTTTTTTCTCTTTTTGTTTGTTTTGCATTACTATACTCAAGCCTTTTGTGTTAAGGTTTTTCTCCTGTTCATAGTTTTTGGGATCTATTCTGTTTATAAAGAATTTCATTAATCATTACTTCATAATTACTACTATTACTGTTATTACCACTTATATACTATTATTGTTCAGGTGTTAAGTCCCATGTAGTTTCATCAGTGAGACGGATTCCTGATCCTGATCATGTATGAGCTCTGAGTGGTAGTGTTGGTACTATGATCTGTCGGCACACCAGTCAGTCAATGGTGTGCATTCACAGGAGTTTGTTTTTGTTGTTGGTAACTGCTTTTGTAGTGATATAATGTGAGAATTTCCATATTGTATAATATTTTTATTTGTTGTAAGCACCAGAGTAAACTGGGAATGTTGCTTTGATGGACTGTGTAAATGAAATGATTCTAAGGGAACCTCTCCACCAAGTTGCTGAAAATACACACAGATTTATATTTTATTATGTACCTACTTGTATAAATAAAGGAAAAATTGCATTCTGAAAGAGCAAAAAGAGTTGTGTTACTCTGAGAAAATGACCACACCTTTCTTTGCCTTGTTATGTTATACTGAAATTGAGCAAATTAGAGCAATGCCGGGTACATAGTAAGTATTCAGAAGTATTGGCTATTATTAACCGGTGAAGCAATTAGTGTATTTAGTCAAGTATCTTTGTCTGGAATCCATGTTTGTTGATGATGAAATCATTAATCTATAAAAAATGTCAAATTAATGCAATCATAGTGTATTTTTCTCTAGGTGGCAATAACATCTTGAGGGTTTGGAGGAGCATAGTTTATGATAGTTGCTCAATCAATGTAAACTGTTTAGTGAGAAAACAGGTTTAATTTTTTAATGAGAAAACAGAGAAGTCAAAGAATTTAAAGCAGGACTAGTAGAATCCTGAGCAACTATTTGCTTATCTGAAATGGTAGCAACTTCTTGTTCGCTCAGTTCAAAAGCAAAAAGCTCCTATCAGTGTTTCTCTGTCCTCAGAATAATGTGGTGAAAGCCTGTCAAAAAAGAAGCTTTACAGAACCCTCTGGAGATCTACTCATTCTTGCAGGGTTAAAAAGCATCTCAGATGCTTCTTATATAACTTATCCTTTGGAGAACCATGGCATATTCAATAACGCAGAGTATACGCACAGTCAACTGGACCAAATCCAAGGCATCTTTTAGGGTAGGCTGTCCTGGTGACAGAGAACCACTTGATGATTTGTCTTGCCATCTGGCCTCTCCTGACAAGCTTAAGTTCCCCAAACTGTCCTCTGCCTCTACTCTAGTTATTACTCGCAAATATCGCATTCTTTAGCTGTTTTCCTCAATAGTAGGGAAAAAAGAGGGGGTGGGGTTGGCTAGCTGGAGGTTGTGGAAACCAAACATGGGCCTGTTCCACCTTAAAGGGCCTAGGCATGCCTAGTGTTTGGGTCTTGCAGAGTTTGGGCACCACCATATTTGGATCGTGCCTACTTTGGGGCGGGAACCTCCTTGGGAGTGATTAGGTCAGCGCTGGAGGAGGTGACCTTGTTTGGTTTCTGGCACCCGAGAACAGTGGTGCACTGTTCTTGCTGACCCCGTTTGTCTAATTAGCCCAGACTCTCCACCAGCCGAGGTTGCCCAGGAGCTCCTCACTGGCCACCCCCGCTGCCCGCGGCAGAGCAGAGGCGGGAAAGCCGCGCGCCTGCGCCGTGGGAACCGGGGC